CCTTGCTCTTCACTAGGGCTGTTCGGAAGTCTAGGATGATGGCCCCAACGTCTAGAGTAGTGGTCGCCTCAACCCCGAGTTGTGGAAGGGGCTCCTCGGAAGTTCGGGCGGCCTCGGGTTCGAGCGAGGTCCCCTCTAGCCATTCCTCCTCGACAAGGTCAACTATTGGCATGGCTTCAACTGCGCTCCATTGACCGACCTCGCTAACTACATTGACGACTTCAACAACGCCGATCTTCACGACCTCACTACGCGCCAAAACTCCAAGGCTATGAACAAGTGAAATGGGCCCCTGAGGGTCCTATTTATAGACAAATGAATTGAACTATGGGCGATTGAGATCAGTTGGATCCAATGATTCGCAAGGATATGGTGGTTCGTATTCTGAGGCAAAATCAATTTAGCACATTTTTTGCATCCGCGCGACCTAATGGCTGCATGGCATCCATGTAACCTCGTGCCTAGGCCAAACTAGCCAAACCAACCCGATCCTAAGCCATTGGTCAGACCACGATTGAGGACGAAACTCAAACCAAATCACCTCAGGTTAAGACTACACCCTCACCAAACTTATCACATTGAACTTGGGAGTGGGGGCAATTGATGATGGGTAATTTGATTCTCCAATGATATCAAGACACGTGGCATTGCAAAACAACGAAGTGACACCTCGACACCACATAAGTATACCCCAGGAGCACTTCGGGCACTTCACAACTACATCGATGACCTCGCCACCACTCTAGTAGGCCAAATTGTGAATAGTTAGGCAAGACCTTAGGTCAACATAAGAGGCGACCTGCTTCCACCGATCTGACTTGACTCTGATTAGTGACCTGCCTGATGTGTCGAGTGACCTCCCCTTAAGTAGGCTATTGCCTCTAAATTCCCCGGGAGCATGATGCCACATTGGAAGAGTTGGTTATTACCCTGCCCGCTTCGGGCATGATTGGATAAATGTTATCCACTTATGCGGAGTCCACCTCTAGGCATGAAACCACCTCCAAACTAGATAGGCCAGAGATCCCAGATGCGTTTCATGAGGCTCACGGTAGCTCACCTATATAAGGGCCTCTCCTCTAACCTCATAAGGTACATGCAATTTAGCTTTCTAAGCACTCTAACTCTCTTACAATCAAATACCAGCTCGCTAACTTAAGCACCGGAGTGCCCACCCCGGGTCAAGCAATCTGGGCACTCTGATTACTTCTCTCTTAGAGCTCAACCAAACGACCTACTCAATCCAGCATCCGAGCTGCCAACCAGCAGGGAGTACTAGATCATGCATCATCAATTAGTAATAAAACTTTAGAAAGAAATTAATGGAAAATTTGTTTTTCTACTTTTGTAGATATCTAAATATAGTGGAGATTTTTGATTGACAGTTCTTACATTTGAAAAATGTACATTTTACAAATTTATTCCTCAAGTTATTATTTACAATAAAAAATGATTAAAATATTAACAATATTATAAAATAATAAAAAGATAAAATATTAAAACAATAAATTAAATTACAAAGGAGATTGTAATTTTGGATAGGAAAAAAGAGTAAATCCCTTAAACCTCCCCTCATGATTTTTGGGTATAATGGGACTTATACACCCCTTTTATTAAATCTTTATTTTGCCCAACTTAGTAGAGGTTTAAGGACAGGTCAAAGTTCAGGGGAGATTTAAGGGATTTATCAAAAACAAAGATCATTAATTTTTATGTTAAGAGAGGAAATTTTCTCCCTAGTTTTATTTTTATTTTTATTTTTTTTACAAGGGCACACCCTATCCACACTCATCTTTACTTCACAAGTGGCAGTAGAGAGCAGCCACTGCTGCCCCTTCTCCCCATCTCTCTTTTCACATTCCCCTACTTAAGCTAAGAAGAAGAAGAAGAGGAAGAAAAGGGAGGGAGAGATGATAAGGACAGTGGTTGAGTTCTCTGGTTAACTGAGAAGACAATGAATAGTGAAGTCTTTAAACAAAGAAAGGAGTATTATTGGAACTTTGGAAGTAAATTTTGTCTGCTACCTTCAAATGAGCTCATAAGTAGCTTGGCCTCTAAACCATTCAATGGCTTCTTTGGCATACAAATAAGTGATTTAGAATTAGAGGTACAATTAAATGACCTCGGGTCGCTGAAAAAGCAACATTTTCAACATTCCGAGGTTAATTTTACATTACCAAAAGCAACCTTAGTATAAAATCAGTACAATGGGGACGAGAACTTGAAGATTTCAATGCACACTGTTGAAGAGTTAGGGCTGGCAAATTTTCAACCCAACATGCTAGCCCACCCAACCCAAACATTAATCGATGGGTTGGGTTTTATCCATTACCAACAGGCGATCCATTAGCCATAGCCTCTTGTTTTTAGTTCAACACCAATAATGAAGATCTTTAAACTTTTTCCGGAGATTAGGCTTAAGTAGTCATGAATCTCAATCTCAAAAGCTTCAAGAAATAAAAGTTTTGATCAAAGAAGCCCAAGGTCTCTCTCGTGAATATCCATTGCAAGAAAAGGTCTGCTTGAAGCTGCAGAAAAGTGTCTCTTGTTCATCAAAGGTCATCAAAGACCTAGCAAAGCTCTGCTAGATCTCAACTGATTTTTTATTTTCGTCATATTTCAATTTATTCAAATCTATGTTACGTGACTTAGAAGAATTCACCCCTAAAAGTTAGGGGTTAGAGGGAGGGAACCCAAACACATATATATCTCACAACAGCATCCCATTCTACCGATGTGGGATACCTCACATTAGCATCTCATACTACCAATATGGGACAAATAAATCGTAACAATCTACATACCTCTCTCTTCTACAAAATCGGCTTTATTTGTCACGATTTCATTAAATATGACCTTGCTCTAATTGCTTCAAGAAAGCCACCATGTAAGGTTGAGATAAATGAAATTTTTGACCTTCTTTTTGATCTAAACAAAGCGAAATCATGTTCTCCATGGGGAGTCTCGGATCGGAACCTCTCTCTTTTCCGAAGCTTGTTGAATCGGACAGTTTATGCGTTTCTTTTCTGTAATTTATTTCATTTACTGTGAATTTTATAATTTCTATATTTTTCTACAATTTTTTTTTCATCTTCCATGTTTTTTTCTGTTAGCTTTTTCTACAGTTTCCGTGATTTCTGCTATTTATCTTTGTTTTCTATGTTTTTATAATTTCTGTTATATTTTCCTGTAATTTCTGTTTATTCAATATTTTTAATATTATATTTTTGTAATTTTTCTATAATTTGTGTTAGCTTTTTTTTGTATTTTGTGTTTTTATAATTTATTTTTTTCTGCAATTTATCTTTTTTTTTTTTGTATTTTCTTGTATTATAATATATAATTTTTTATATTTTTGTGTTTTAATGAATTAAAAAGATAATATATTGGGTAGGTTAGGTTGAATTTGGTCAACCCGTTTAATTTACACTAAATGGATTATTAATGAATTGGTGGGTTAAACGAGTTGGGTTGAAGCTCAACCCAAACCCAAGCCGCCTAAAAGCACCCAATTGCTACTCCTACAGTGTTGGTAATATGGCAGTTGATTTTTATGTGTCTCTTAAAACCTCCTTTAAGGTTTGGTCAAATATGCATTCCACTCCTAAGGTTTACCTAACACCTCATACCCTACCCCGTTTGACAATTGACACCAACCAAACTACCGGTAAAAGATAGAACCCAAACGGCTGGTCTGTATGTCCCGATCGAAGAAAAACCATTGAATTGAAAACTTTTGTATTAGCTTGACCTTGACCCACAGGATCTGCAAGTGGTTATGGGTTTGAATGTTCATAGGTTCCAACCCAAACAGGGTAGAACAGTGGAGCTTCATTCACGTGTAGTGTAAAATTGTAAATCAGGAGGCAGAAGGAAGAGGATCTGTATCTAGTCTAGGAAATTAAATGGATAAAGAAAAGAAAGCTCTAACATCAAGAAGGATCAAGGATATGCATCTAGCTAGTCCAGGAACCAATAAATAAACAAAGTAGAAAGTAAAACCTTATCCATGCAGCTAACTCACTCTCACTTTTCATCTTTTAGAAGTGTGTCCAAAATGTTATTGTCAGAAGGAGCCGGGGCGGGGTCAGTCTCCAGTGATTTATGCCCGTCCCTTTACAATTCTAAGGCGGTACCTGTATCTGTTTTCCATGGCATCAGTAACCACTAAGACCTCCTCTTTTTAACTAGCTTGGATTGGACTTTGTAAATTAACTGCAAAGATTAATTCTGAAGGAAGCCTTTTTTTGTAACCCATCTACGGATGGTTCGGATTCGAACTGATACTGTTCATGTCGGATCTGATAGGATTCAATTTGAATTTGAATCTTATCGGTAAGTCGGATCTTCGGTTCTGATCCGATCCGACCTGTTTTCTTTAAAAATTAATAAATTATTAAAATATAAATATTTTTAATTATTTTCATTATTCATTATATATATACACACATGTTTTTATAATATAATAAATTTATAAATAAATAAATACCATCCGATCGAATAGGGATGATCCGAATCCGATTCGAGATCCGAACAAGGGCGATGACCAAAATACATATCCGATATCCATTTGCACCCCTAAACCCAGCCTCTCCGTAGCAGTGGATGGATTAATATATTTAGACTGGGGTATTACTTTTGTATATTGGGTGGGTTTGGGATGTACGTTGAGGCGCTTTAACCAATGAAGTTTCCTTAGACATGACAAAGGCCGTTATTTGCCAATTAAGTAGCTATAGCTAAGCTAAGCTAGTCTGTATTTATAAAGGAATTAGCAGCCAAACATGTTTGTTTTGGTTTGAAGTCGAGTCTAAACGTAAACGACATGGGCCATGGCCGGCCTAGCTGGTCAGGACTCAGGAGCCGGCCCGCTGCCTGGATCTGCTGCTCGCTCCACTCCAGTAGGACAGGACACAGGACCAGTACTCTCTCTAATCTCTATAGCCTAAGCTTCCTCCTTTCATCCTTTCTATATATAATTTGAGCATGGAGCCATGGACCGTGTCCATCTGCTGCCACCTGCCAATATACTTAAGAGCCTGGATCTGTTGCTTGCCAAATTTTGTGTAAAACTCAGCAGATCCCAATTCCCAGGTGGCCATGGGTTATAGCTCAGCTTGGATATCTTCTCTTCCTATAAGCCACTCTTCCCACATCCTTACCTGCAGTCTGCAGAACACTACAGGCGTGCTTGTGGGTACGAGATCCGGCTCCGCGGAGGCTTCGGATCTGTTCTCCACAAGTCACTACAGCCGCAAATAGGGAACATCTACCCATGTTAGATGCGTTTTGTTGGCAATGGATCCGATGATCATAGCGGAGAATTACCTCCATTGATTTGATGCTTCAGAAATACAAAAACCTCTCTCTTTCAATTTGTTTGGTCCGAGTGTGAGATCATCCTTCGAATTCTTCCATTTCAGTGTCAAAATCTCTGCCGGTCTACCTTTTGCGTTGCCAACATATCTCACCACCGCCCTTCCCCACCTCGGCATGGCCATCTCTTGATTTCACGGCCAATCCGCTTTGTGTTGACGACAAATCTTGCCGCCAAGAGGGATTAGGTTCAATGTCTTGTCGGATACCTCGCTGTAGTTGCTGATAGTGATAGCTTCCATCGCCTTCCTCAGTTCTCACTGACAAATCAAGAAGCTTAGCCTACACCTACAGCTTCTTCCTTCTGATACCGAAGAAGAATTTGGTCAATTGTTGGATCTGTTTGAAACATGGAATCACAGACATGAATGACCCCCGGACTCCTTTTGAAACGTCTCAGTCAGCACGATATTCAATAGTAACTGCAGACTGCCACGTGCCGTTCCTGATTCTGCCTTAAACTCATCGCATCTTGCTCGCTAGAATTGGGAATTGATTAATCACGTTTTACGATGGACGCAGCAGATGTGAGCTCGCAGTCGCCTCCAAGGCAAATAGGCGATTGGATATTTCGATTACGATTTGTTTGTTCTGTTTCTGTCTTCCTCATGCAATTCTCTCTCTCTATTTAAGAATCTTTTATTTTAAGAATCGAGAGAGAGAGAGAGAGGCTACAACTACAACTGCAGGTCTTAAGAGAACCTGGAGTTCAAGAAAAAGCAAATGAAAGGTCGCTGCCTTTTGAAATGCCTACTCCTCCCCTTTTCCATTTTCATTCTTTGCAACCAGTCCCATGCAAGACGAATACAACCAAGTTTACAACCCCAGAATATCACAACCCAGATTGAGCTCCGAAAATCCCACAAAAGTTTATCAGTGCCCACTATTATAGCAGGAATCCTGTGCTTCGTGGCCGGATCTATATCTAGTGCTGGTGGGATTGGTGGTGGTGGGTTGTTCGTACCCGTTATAAACATAGTGGCAGGTCTAGACCTCAAGACGGCTTCAATTTTCTCGGCTTTCATGGTCACAGCAGGGTCAGTTGCCAATGTTCTCTGCAACATTTACTTCAAGAACCCCAAATATGGTGGTAAGGTTTTGACTGACTATGATATAGTACTCCTATCAGAGCCCTGCATGCTGTTGGGGGTGAGTGTTGGTGTCATCTGCAACATTGTTTTCCCTGAGTGGCTTATTACTGTTCTGTTTGCGGTTTTTCTTGCTTGGACCACTTCTAAAACATGCAAAACCGGTTTGTTGTATTGGAAATTGGAATCTGAAGAGGCGATTGGAAATGGGTCTGAGGCATCAAGAGATGGGTGTGTGATAGAGGAGGCTTGTGAAGGTAGTCCTGAGATTGCGTGGAAGAAGGTGGGGGTTTTGGTTATGATATGGTTCTCATTCTTTGCACTTCAATTCATTCGTGGAGACAAGAAAAGAGATGATGGAAAGGTACTTGTTCTAATCATCTTTCTTTCTTATCCTCCTTGCAACTGTTCATTTGATTTTTGCTTGCTTGGAAAATGAAAAGAAGTACTCCCTTGTTTCATCGATTCAGTTAAGCAATTCATTCCTGTAATTTTCCCTGATGCCTTGGATTGGAATAGGTCCGAACACACACTAATATTTAGGTTTTGGCCTTTTGGGTGCTCCACTGAATGCGAGGGCCCCAATTGACTTGGATTTTCTTTTGAGTTCTCTAATGCGGCTCTAGATCTGGTCCCCATAGGAGTGAGGTGCTATAGGCCAGAAGCCGTGATTAGCATGTTAGTCGGTGTTAACAGGGACTCCATCTCCATGGGCCATGGCGGGTGGCGAGTGGGGACAGTGCAGTGTGGACGTGAGACCATGGCGGCTTTTCTTAGAGCTTATCCATATATAGAACTTTCTCTCTATATGATATTTGATACAGGGAGCTTTTCCGCTCATGGATTAAGTTGAATTGGATAAGATAAAATAAATAAATAAATTATGTTGGGTAAAAATAAATCCTTTCTAAAACGATAAATAATGTGTTCTAAAATAACTAAATGCTCATGAAATGTTGTTTTTCTATTGTGTTTGAACTTTGAAGGGTATGTTGGATATTTTTTGTGTATTTTGTTAAAGAATTTGTGCACATGTGCTTTCTAGCTCCCAGCCGAGCTTGTCTCCCCAAAGACCAAAGTGGTGGTTGCGGGGTTCGATTCCGTGCGTCAACGCTGGAACAAACCAGCTAACACACCAACGAGCCAGCCCTCGGATGGTAGCTTGTCTCCTTTTTACACACATACATATTTGGATATGGACTAGGGCAGTCAGTAGTTTGGGGCCTTTGGGCCCCCAACTCGATAGAACCAACTTGTTCTATTATACAAATCTAGGTTTGCATTTTGAGTCCCCCCATTATTATTAATAGGAGCGGTTCTGGATCTGCATTTTGAGTTCATGATCATTATAGTCTTGGGATAGCGTCCTAACTTTTTATACATTATACCCATGCTTTACCTTATAGTAACTTCATATAAGACGTCTTTGAACATATTGCATTTGATCCTCTATCTGTAGTTTCTGCGGCACATTCTCATTTGGATGGATGAAATTCTTTCTCATCTTAATATATTGCCTGTACCCCAACCATCTGCACTTCCTACTCGGTCACAAATTGGTTGGAGTAAACCTCCTCTTTCTCTAAAGTTCAAGTTTGATAAGGCACTGAATTCGGTTGCTGGCGGCCTGGTGTGTTGGTCTGTTAATTCGAGACTCAAGTTGAAGTTTTTGTTATGGTAGAGAAATTAAAATTCCTCTGGGATCTCCTTTGCAAATAGAAGCCAAGGCAGCTCTTGCTGCTATCCAATTTGCTGTGGAACTTCGTGTTTCGTAAGTCATTTTTGAGGGTGATTACCAAACTGTTACTTTGAGTTTGTTGGAAGCTGATTCTACTCCTCCGTGGCAAATTAGTCTGTTTCTGATTACAAACTCCTCATGTTGCAAATCCCTCACTGCTCGGTTCGATGGTCCTCTCATTCTAGTAACAAGGCAGCCCACCTATTGGCCAAGCATGCTCTCAACAATGCTCATTCTTATACTTGGTCTTCCCCTCCATCCTTTTTATTTGAAACTTTGTTGATGTATTGTAATTCCGGAATTAGGTCTCTGGCTCACTGCTGCAGAGCTTTAGCCTTCGAAAAAAAACAGAGAGCAATAGGGTATCATAGATTTATTGTCAAATTACCAAGCTGAAGTAAGGGTCAGCTTTTTTTTTTTCTTTTTCCTTTTTTTTTTTTTGGGGGGGGGGGGAGGGTACTTATGATTGGGTCAGTTCTGGCTATAGTACTCAGTACTTACAAATCCTATGGAGTCCAGAAAGTTTTCATTTATCTGAATTCCAATTCAAAGATGATCTGGATTTAATCTGTTTATAGGATCAAATATGGATTCACCCCAATCCAATAATATTCAAATATATATGCTTATGTCTGCATAAAATCAATATGCAAATTGGTCTGAGTTTTGTTTGTTTACCAAGAGTCATAGTTTCAACTTGAAGTCTTATAGAAAGCTATTTTCAAGTAATTTCATTTGTGATATACAATATCAAGGTCGCTATTAATTCATTTATTAATAATTATAATATTTCATTTATTTTTTGTTTAATTTATTAATAGTATTAAATATCCAAGTCCCATCTACATCCAGTAGGGTATGATGTTGACATGGACGAGGAAACAATCAAGTTGCTCACCTAATGGGTGTGTCATGAGACGGATATATAGTATTGAAGGACCATGTCAGACCTCAGCATGCCATCATCTGGATTATGATGCTAGCCAATTCAGTTAAAGAAAGCCGCATGCCAACCATATGCCTTGGCAAAAGAAATTATGAAAAGAAAATTGAAATATTTGGGAATGACTACAGAAATCCAGGTTCAGAATTCCACTCAGATAACTTTTATATCATCTGTTAAATTGTATCCTTAGGTCTTTTCTCACTTCTTCCCATCATGTCCTTTTTGGCCTTTCCCTAACTCTAGCATGGAAAAGAATTTCTCTTGGCAATAATTTTAGTTGCTTTGTTTCATTAAAATATATTTATGTGGCAAGAACAATGGATCATTGACACACATTTATCTAATGGCCTTTGCAAGGGTTGAAATGTTCCAATGTGAATGTATTTATAATTAATGGAACTGTTTAACATTGTTACAGAACATAATACAATTAGAACCATATGGAAACGCATATTGGATTATCTCAGCATCCCAAGTTCCTCTTGCCATAATTTTTACTGCTTGGATTCTTTACCAGACAAGTGCACAAGGCCATACTTCTTATAAACAGGTATGTTACAATAGTTATTTGAACCAATTGATTGTATATTGAACTTTGTCAGAAGACCATTTTGGTTTATGGCTCCTGAGGCATATCAACTAAAAGCTCACTTTTTTTGTGAAGGAGATCGGAGTCCCAATTAGAAGCCCATGCCCATCCAATCTTGTTTTCCCAGTAATGGCACTCTTAGCAGGGATCCTGGGTGGTATTTTTGGTATTGGCGGTGGAATGCTAGTAAGCCCACTTCTTCTTCAACTTGGAATATTGCCAGAGGTAAATAACACCTTCATTCCATATTTGTCATTTCATATATATCCAAGTTTTTCTTTGCAAATGTTATTACACATGTTTCTTTTCCATATCAGAATTTGTGCATTTGCTTGTGACAGATGTATTGTGTAGGAATTATATGGAAAACCTGAAAAATATGGAAAATTTAGGGCATAGGATGAAGGGTGAAGTTAAGTCATTGAGAATGAAGTGAGCCTATTTTAAGATTTGGACTTAGGATTGGTAAACTAATGCTTATGTCTTAACCCAAAAGAAAAAAAAAAAAAAAGACTACTGCTTGGGTCATGGAATTCGTAGTCTGAAAAACCAATAAAGTGAGGAGAAATAGGTGAAATTTTAGCTGTTATCTGTCTGAAAGGCTCACATGGTGTGTGTGTGTGTGTGTGAGTTCTGTTGTTGTTGAGTTTCTATTGGGGTAAAACAATGACAGGGTAATGAAATTAGTGAACAGGAGGCTAAATACTAATAACTTGCTATTTCAGAATTCAATCCAGTGCACAATATTAACAATGGAAAGCAATGACCAGAGTGGCCACCATATTTTCAAACTTAATTTGTGAACAAGAGATTAATAACTTGATATTTCAGAAACCTATCCTGTACATAATAATTGCCAATGGAATTCAATGACTGGTAACCACCATATAATGGATAAAGCCATTATCCCTGAAATATTGACCTTTGTCTTGATGAAGTACAAGGATAATGGGTAAATCCAGAAGAAGAAATGAAGCCTTTATACAATGGGTAGCCTGTTGCATATCTTCAGGGCAAACTGGTATGAAGTGACAATGATCAAAGAAAATAATATAGAACAAAAAATAAGGTTCAGTTGCTGGTCAAAATGAAAATTAATATATAACCGAAGTTGAAATTTTTCCATCACGAAATATGATATTGAGTGGAGAGAAACCTATTTTTCTTGATCAGAAGGGAAACACCTTAGTGACATTCCTAGTATATCAAGGAATTGGCTAGTTATCCCTTTCTGGGAAGCTTTCCACCCTTGGATACCATGCATCTACTGAAATTAAAATATCATGCACTTGAGGTGCACTAAAATTATGTTTTCTTAATTTTAATGAAATCAAATTCACATTGAGGTCATTTTAAAGACCAAAATTTTGGATAAGACAGCGTACATGATTGTTGCAAGGCACTGAATTAGGGAATATTTACTAAGCACAGAGATCTCTAAACAACTTAGTCCAATGAAGAAAACATTCATTTATCATTAATTGGATGGACTTTCTTACTATTGTTTGTCATCAGAAAAAGAAAATCTCAATATTTTTACTCGATGCATCTTGAGCTTAATGTATATGATTACTGATGTTTAAAGTATATTTACCTGGGTGTACTTTCTCAGAATTCAACTTATCTGCATTGCCACTAGAGTGATTTGAACTTTCTCTTTTAGCAAGACTTAGGTGATTTAAATAATTCAATGTGGCCTGTATTCCTTCTCTTAAGGAATTGAAACTATCAACATCTCTAATTTTTATGCTCAAGTAATAAAAGGTTCGACCCTGAATACATCAATCCCTTCGTAAAAAGTGTGATTCCCTTCAAGGTTTTCAGAACCATCGTTAGATTTTTTTAATCACTTTTTCGAGGTGCAGGTTACAGCAGCCACTTGTTCGTTCATGGTTTTATTCTCTTCTTCAATGTCTGCAACGCAATACTTATTGTTGGGCTTGGAGCACAGAAATGAAATTGCCATATTTTCTATTGGTTCTTTTCTGGCATCATTGGTTGGATTGCTGGTAGTACAGAGGGCCATAATGAAATATGGTAGAGCCTCCCTCATTGTATTCTCCATTAGTACAGTGATGGTTCTGAGTACAGTTCTGATTACCAGCTTTGGAACGATCCATGCATGGAAGGACTACACAAGTGGGAAATACATGGGATTCAAGCTACCCTGTTGATCAAGACAAGGTGCCTTCTATACTTGGTTTTGGAAACAGATGACAAGGATGACAATGGTGGAAATGAGCTCTCAACTAGTGGAACATATTTGCCAGGTTGCACCCATGCTTGACCCAAGAAATCGGAGAAAGAATTCTACATTAAAGAGTTTCATAAAGTGAGTTAGATTTCATATGCCGAATGAGATCAAACTTGATGGGGAGTACCTAGAGTCTGGAGCGAGGTATTGATTATTGAACCCTGGCATTCTGGATGAACACCTCGTTCTGTTGGATTCCAAGTTTGCAAGCATTCTTGCCATGAATTTGGCTAAATCTCGGCAAGTAATAATTTGTATTGGTAGAACATGAATTTGTAGCTAATGTAGCTCGAAAAAAAAAAGAAAAGAAAATTGTAGTCACTGTTTCTTGCTCTTGTATCGCCTCCTTGTACCAAAAAGAATGAAACAGTAAGCAAAGGGATCCGAAGACTTTGTCAAATCATTACATATGATAGTAGTTGACATCAAATGTCAAGACGGAGATGTGAGAATAATGTTAGCCTTGACCATCTTATATTAACAAAATAGCCAAAATATTTAAGCTTAATAAGCTGCTTAAGTGCTTTCCTCAGTTGACTAGTTCCCACCCACCCCCAATGACTTTCTTCTCTTGTTTTATTTATTTATTTATTTATTTTGTTTCTTTCCTTTTTAGCCAACCATTCTATTATACAGTATGCAGCTCGACTTGGTCCTACATAGGGGTGTCAATTGGACTGGATTTGGTCCAATCAGATCCAGTCTAATGTGTGTCCATTATAAATGGATCCGGTCCAATCCAATCCAATGAATGTTTTGGACCAATTTGGACCGGTCCAATTCAATGTCTGGACTGTCTAATCTGTTCAAATTTATTTTGATTTAGATTGATTTCAACCCAAATCCAGTCCATTGACACATATATTCTTATATCAATGAACTAGATATTGGCTTAATCCAACCCAATCCAATATAAATTTGGTACGGACAGATCAGGTCCAATCCAAACTAATAAATATTTTCGACCGGATTGGTCTAATCCAATATGTCTTGTTGGTTTGTCCAATCCATCCAAATTGATTTTGGATTGGACGGGTCCATTGCACCCTTAGTCCTAGGAATGGCAATGGGGCGGGGATGGGGAGCCTCAAAATCCTTGTCCCTGTCCCCGCTAACGAGGATAAGGTTATCCTCATCCCCGTCCCCACAGCTATAGAGATCCCCACTCTCCATGATTTTTTATAATGTCAATCATTTTTTTTTTGTTTTTTATTTTATTTAAAAAATAAAAATAATTAAATTTTACAATTCTATTAGACAAGATTTAAATATTTTTAAAAAATATTAATATATAGAATTTTACAATTTTGAACAGTTATTGACTTCAACTAATCCTATCTTCAATCACACAGGTTGGGCCAATAATCAAAGTAATGGTTTTTTTTTTCTTAAAAAAACAAGAGTTTCCTCAAAAAAATAATGGGTTTTATGAAAGGTCGTTTACTAGAATACCCTCCATAATTTCATTGATTTACTTAAACCTGCCCTACAGTTTTCATTTTACTAAAACACCCCTATAGTTTGTGACCTATTTACTTAATCGACCTTTCATTAAGAAGTGTTTGTTTTGCCATATGAAAATAATAACATAATCACCTAAACTGAGTGGGAAATGTTCAAAGGCATGGGCCCATGATTGTTTATTCCAAAAGTACCCTTAACATTTCTTCGTATAGAAAACAAAATTGACCAAATAGAGCAAAATAGAATAGTTGCTCGTGTCTTATTAGAGGAAAAATGGTATTTTTTTATCATTGTTTTAAAAGCCTTAAGCCTTGAAGCGTGAGGTATACACATTAAGGCAAGGTGCACAGATTTTGCCTTAAGGCTTAAGCCTCACAACTTTGATGTGAGGTTTAAGCCTTTGTCAAAATGAGGCATAAGCCTCAAGCCTTAAGGCGTGAGGCATATCCTGAGGCATAAAAAGTCATAAGCCTCAAGTATCAATGATTACTTAGTCAATTAATACAAAAAATATACATTTTTATAATTTAAAACACATAGAAAAAATAGAAAAAAACACTTCAATAATTATGGCTCAAATAAAAAATAAAAGAACCAGTAAGGAAAATCAAATTCCATTAGATTTTCTTAGTGTTTTAAGAGAGCTTAGTGCAAAAAGGACTAATCAAGTTTTTAGTTTCTTTTGGATAAATCTAGTGAGATTTTTCTTATTATTCTAAATATAATGTCCAAGTTTGTTATTTTTCTCATTTGTTCTACTAATGGATCTTTTTTTCTTTTTAATAATAATAATAATATTAATAATAATAATAATAATAATTATTGTTGTTGTTGTTGTAGATCAAATCAACTCAGTTGTTTTCTTTCTTCTAAATTGGCTTTTTTACATGAAATGTAAAATGTTTATAATTGCTAGTTGATTAGTTATTATTTTATTTAATGCTTAAATGCCGAAACTTATTGCTTATAAACTTCTAGTTTATGGATGTGTACTTTCTATCATTTTAATTTGGCATATCATGTGTTATTTTCATCAATTTACAAACTTTAATTAATTTTCCTGAAACTTTGAGGCTTATGCCTCAACTATGCCTTTAACCTTTTAAAACTTTATTTTTTTATTTTCTTTTGATTAAATTTATTCAAATAGACATTAGGGTCAAAACTGTTATTTTTCACTTTTATCTGATGAAAAGTTGATTTAATAAATCAATTGCAAAATATAGGGGTATTTTAATATAAGGCAACTGTAGGGTAGGTTTTAGTAAATCCATGAAAAACTATATGGGGTGTTTTATTAAATGACCGTTTAATGAAATATGAAACAAGCTCATCCCGCGATCTGGTTTATGGATGAATTTTACCACTTAACCAGGAAGTTTAGTTCTCCAAGGGATCAGTATTTTACCAGGAATGGGATCTTCTAGCATTACCTTGTAAAATAAAAAAAGATAATAATACATAAATACCTCACTGCCCCCCGACCTAATGCCATCAAGTGTGCCATTACAAAGAACACAGCCTCATTTTGTGGGTCAAAAACTCCAATCAAGTCTGGATTAAGTTAGCCTGGTGACTGATCTTTTTTTCTATATATTAATGGTCTTCTAAAAAGTTGCATACATTTCCACGAAGCTCGTATTATTTTCAGATTTATTAACGAAGACCTTGACAAGTCAATTCCCTTTTGCAGGATTAAACAAAATAAAATGATTCAATTATCAGTTGCCTCACATTTATACCTCTCGAGGGAGGAAAACCCCCATTCCAAGTTCCCAAGCCAGATCTTGGGTCAGACATATGGGCTTTTAGAAAATATATAAATGAAAAACATTCAAGCATATATATGAAGTAAATTTTTTTTTATAAAGACAGAAGTGATAAGAAACTAGCCCCAACTGCAATTTGGGTGCATTTTGCTTCCAAGATATTTAGATTTTACACGAAAATGGTGTTATAGATAGATGCAGTTAGATATATGCTGTAGATCGAAGAATGTCCGGCGAGCAATCTAGGATCTAGAGCATCTGGTTCATGAACCAGACTTAGAAGAAATGGTCTAGCAATCAACTATTGAAGTGATTCATCACCCTAAACTCACATTCTGGCACAGATACATTTAGAAATGGATTTTGAATGAGCCAACCCTGTTGACTCTGTAACTTTGATTGTCATCATACTCGTGGAACTCACCAACTATGAAAATAAAACCAACCCTGTAAGGCTGTAACATACTCTGGTCTACATATTTGTGTTCTAAAATAATACCCAGTCAAACAACGCGTATTGGAGGGAGCCCTGTAACATGATGTACATAGATTAAGCAAGTAAAACTGCAACTGCAATACTGAAAATTAAACCTACTCAAAAGAAGAAAATAAAAAAACTAATGACAAGTTTGAGCAATTGGATAGACAGCCTGTCATTTAATGATTCAAATGATTTGAGCCATGCACTAATCTTCGATTCATCATTCTGGAAAGACTACTCTCCATATTCTATCTCTATAAATATGTTTGATTCAAACACAATCCTTCCCATCTTTCCTCTGTCTCACACTCCTCCGGATTTCTTCCAAATCCGAGTTGTTTCTTCTCTCTGTGTTTTTGCAAGATAAAAATGACGGAGTTGAGAACACTCTTGGGCTTAGCTGCTTTAACCATGATTGTCCAGCTAGCCGTAGGGGCTGATTTAAAGGTGGGAGGTTCAAGTGGGTGGGATACAACCACCGACTTACAGACATGGGCAGCAAGCCAGTCGTTTTTTGTTGGAGATAGCCTGAGTAAGTCAAGAATCACTCTCTCAAGTCTCAAATTCTCAATTACCCACATTGCACATTTTTAGTAAATGATCGTTTCAAAAGAATATCCAGACCCTTTTTTTGATCAATTTCAACCAGCTTGTTTTTGAAACTCTCTTTCTGTGTTCATTGTTTGCAGTTTTCACGTACTCGTCCATCCACGACGTACTAGAGGTTACGAAGGCGGACTATGACTCCTGCTCCTCAAGCAACCCAATCAAATCTTACAATGACGGCAATACTACAATCCAGCTCTCTTCTCCGGTCAAGAGATACTTCATCTGTGGAAAGACTGGACATTGTGACCAAGGGATGAAGCTTGAAGTTAACGTTCTGGCTTCTTCCACCCCACCAACCGCTTCTCCTGTCACTCCTCCGGCAGCCCCGCCACCTGTGGCAACTTCAACTCCCCCACCTTCACAGAAACTCTCTCCTTCCAGCCCTCCGTCTAAGTCCCCCGCTTTAGCCCCATCTAAATCACCTTCTAGCAGCCCCACACCACAAACGGTTCCTTCTACCGAGTCACCTGTGGAGCAACCCACCAGATCCCCTTCAAGCTCCGCTGCACCTCCACCTCAACCATCTTCTTCATCAAAAACCAGTAGAAATCTGCAAGTGAAGCTCGCGACGGGTTTCAGTTTGGGGATGATGATGGTTCTGGCGCTTTAACCTATTTATTTAATAAGTCATTAGTCCTTGTGTTTCATTTTGCTGCTTCGCCGGCCTCCGGGACGACCTGAGAACAAACAAAAGCTTCTGTACTTTTTTTTTTTTATGTTCTTGATGTTCCATGCTATAACATAAGAAGAAACAAGGGTACCCTAGTTTCATCACTAAAAGAGGCTAACACAATCTTATTTAAGATAAATGATAGGTATGCATAAACTAAAGCTCCTACTCACCTTTTGTGTAGCTCATTACCAAAAGGTGAAGAGAAAGAGAAAGGAGGGAAAGCCCTCTCCAATGATAATTCATAACTGTTGGCTGCTAGAGCATTTTTCTTCTGGTACATGTAACGCGGCTTTGCCCCCCACAAGGTCTCGGGCCCATTGACGTTTACAGTTTACTAAACGGGGAGAATGTGTTTCCACGAGTCTGGATCTGAGGGAGTATGCCCATTAACCAGTGACGACTGAACTACTTGGTCATCAGCTGGTAGGCTGGTAAAGTGATTATTAGCTCAATTCCTAAATTCCCTGTCTGATTACAGCGGAGGAGACTCGGGACATAATCCCGCCTTCGGAGTTGAAGAAGCTTTATTATGAGTTGTAATTCTGCTCTTGCCAGTATCTCTAATATCTCCTTTTTTTAGGCTTCTAAATATCTCCAATTCCATTCCTTGCAAGAAAATATTTATAACTTTCCAATATTAGGAGGCAAATATCTAATGTGTGGGTTGTTCTCTATTATCTAAGCATATACATTTTGGGCTTATTCTTCCATTTTATCATTTCTTCATTGAAATTTGACCGGGTCAGAAGCATTAAAAGAATATCTTGGGTAATGCTTTCCGTTTCTTTTATACTTGGTTTATTTATTTCTTCAACCTAGGCACATTGACTATATGGTCCAGTGTACACGTGACCACCCCTGGTCTACCCCTCCCGCCTCCCCTACTGAAGAAAAGAAAAGAAAAAGAGTTATATGGCCCAGTACTGATATAGAAAACTGAAACCGCAATAGCTAGAGATTGGGTTTAGGCATATAGTTTATTTGATTTTCAAGTCAGGTTTCTAAGCTCTGAGTTTCTCCTTTTTTTCTGGTAATTGCTCTGAACTTCTCAAACCATTAAAATCAAAGTTATCCACAATTTCATTTTTCCTTCAGAAGTAAATTCTTCTAGCTACGACGCTTTATCACTATCTCCTTTAGCTGTACCTGAGTAAGGACCAAGGAGATGAAGTTCTCTACCTAGCACCCCAGATCTTAGTTGTTCTTATATCTTCTTATTTCTACTATTTCTTATGCATGCCACAACTGAAGTTACTCCTTCCGCGGGTTCTGCACAAACATTCACAGGCTATACAAAATAACTAGGATTAACACTAGGCGTTTAACAAAAAATACACGAGGACTAAAATGTGACAGAAATTCAAATAAATTACCAGATTTGATTATTGAAATTTCACAATTATGAAGCAACGATAAAATGGAAGTTCACAAATTCCAGTGTGTAATCACCCGCCTAATCTACGTCATTCAGACTTCCAAGATCTAACCAAAACTAACGTAGTGGGAATAAAGACGGAAGAATAATTGAACACTTCTCCAGGAAATTGAAAGCCCAGAACTTAAGCAACTGGGGACCGGAGAACATGATCTTGTGAGGTATCAACTGCAGCGGGTGGCATGAATTGCCACATTGCAACCCCTGGGTAGCCAATGAACGGCATCAGCTTGTTGCCAGCAGCTTGGCCTTGGGCAGTAAATGCAGCTGGGATAGTCGTAGGGTGAGGCAGAAAGCTTGGTGGAGCACTCAGAGTTTTGACTTGCTGTTCCAGCTTCTCTCTCTCTGTCTTCAGCCTCTGCTTCTCGTCACGAAGTTCATTCTTCTCGGCCTACCATATTAAAAAGCAACAATGTGTAACAAAAAACAATGTAGTATAATGTCACCCATTATATTGGAAATATCAGAAAATTTAAATTCACCAAACCATATAAGGTTCAGGAGCCAACAGGCAAATTGCAAATTTGGAAAGTATTGGGTGATAAACAAAACACATCCTTAATGTAATGACAAGAGGTATTGAAATAGCAAATTGAACCCCAGGCTTACCTTCAGCTCTTTGATCTTCTCCAGTAGGCTCTCATTTGATTCCTTCAGCTTCTGGGCTTCACTTCGCAACTGAGTGACCATTCGAACAGCATCACTCAATATAGCAGCCTTGTCCATCTTGGGTGGCCTTCCAGGTTCCAGGATGGAACCCAATTCTAAGAACCTTGTATTAACATCAAAATTGATATGAGAGAGAGATAGAGTTAAAACAAGGGGCTGCAAGTGACCAAGCAACATTCACAAATACAGATAAAACTAGCCACATTGAAAGTTTGTAAGTTGTGTCAGCCTCATATTTGAATTTTGACCATGCATCGCACTGTTTCCTATGAGAAATATCCATTAGTTTTCTTTTCTTCTCTATGAATAGGATTTGAAAAGGAACTCTTTTAGCATATTGCAAAGACCCCTAGCTAAAAACTTCAAAGAAGATAAGGGGAGCAGTGGCATAATAGATAATACAGGCTAGCACATGTAAAAGGAGTGTTACAACAGTGCAAATTCTATTATTGGTAATCAAACAGGAACCATACAATACATACTAAAGAGGGGGGAGGGGGGGGGGGGGGG